TAGTAAAATATCCTTGTGTTTTGTGTTTTTGAATGCCCCTATATAAACCATTGAATGTAGGTCAGAAACAAAGAACTGTAATTTCTAATACATTTTTAACAGGACTATAATTCACACTTAACTAAATCTAGAAATATTTCAACTTTTTGTTTAAAAAATAAAATCGGTGGGAAAAACACTTTTGATAGTAGTTTTCTGGCAAAATATAAGGACGTTTTTATGAAATTTTGTGATGCAAGAGTTATCTCCCGTGGCATCGGTAAATCTGCTCAACACCTTTTTATCGGAATCCTAGTGAAATATTTAGAATCGATACACCAAAGAAAATAATTAAACAAAAAACTAAATAATTTATTTTCAAAATATAATTCATTTTCGCCTCCAGACGTAATATTTAGATTAAAATTGGCTCTATTATTCAGGTTGAATCCACGTTTCCATTGATGTATCAGTGACGTCATATACCTGACTAATATTGCGTCACAATGAAATAGTTACAAGTTTCCAGAGAAGTTTGTAAATTCTTTGCGTAAAAGTATAAAGAAAAAGATTTTTAAAAAAAATTATTTCTCTTTTTCTGTTTAATTACTCTTCAGAGTGCATTATTCTAAATGTTAAATAATATTTTAATATCAAAATGTATTTTATACACGGGCGGCGTCTCAGCTAGATGACGTTTTGATAAGTAATTTTATACATGTCTGAGAACTAATAATTTTCAACTGATTTACTAGGATATGCGTAAAAATAATTAATGAAGTGTTTATCATGAACATTTCTTATAGAATTGGGAATCAATGATGAATGTTTTAGATTTACGCAACACTTAATTCAACGAAGTTGAGATGTTTACTTCATGATATTTGTAAAAACTTAAATATATTAATCTATGCAGTCAAATCAAAATAAACAATCCGAAGTACGATTAAAAATGAAAAAAAAACCCTAAAAAATAAGTTATAAAAATATATTTATTGAGTTAAACTACTGCTGAACTCCCCACTATAATTTGGCTCTAAAACGGAAGATGGTTTAGTGAAACATTTCTTTTTTTTTCTTTTACTTATTTATTTTTTTAATTTGGCGATTGAAACAATCACACACTCACATTTAATATGGAGTTTAAACATGTGACTATGTAGGCCAATTCTAAAATGTTTTCACGTTCATGAAACCAATTTTTATAAATAATGATGTCATGACACCCCCCCCCCCCCCCTGCTTTTTGCTTGCGATTTATCGGCTCTTGAATAATGATACTATATATGAAAGAACTTATTTTCTTATTTATATAAAATAAAATTTTGTAAAAGAGGAAAAGGCTTTACAGATGACAGGTAAGAAAAAACTTGGATAAAGTTGAGACTGTACACATAAAAATATTTCCTGTATTTAGGCAAGTTTAATTTCGCCACTGATAGAATTTACTCTTTAATTCCTGAGGAAATAAAAAAAAAAGAAATTTTACTTGGAAATAAGATAAATAATAAAGCTAGAAAGCTGTCTGCTCTCATTTGTTGCATAATGCATGTACAAATACTTTTTTTTTTAAATACCGAGTATCTATTAAGAATTCAATCAGATGTTTTACATGTAATCTTCATGTACGTAAAAGACATTAGTAATTTAAATAATATATAAATTTGAATCTATGGTTACACTCATTTAAAAACAGTTAACTGACTGAAAAGAAATAAAAGACAAGCATATTTTTCTGATAAATTAAAATGAAGAGCCAAATTTAGGAAATGTTTCTAAATTTACAGTAAAAACCGATCCCGATCCGATGGAAAATAATGAAAAATTAACAAAGTTATCAAACTAAAGGCACCTGCCACCTATATAACATGTTAAAAAAAATAAATCAAGTAAGTTTTTACTCATATTACAACAAAAGAGCCAAATTTAACATTACAATTATAGTATTTTTTTCTTTATATAATTCCGGTCGGGATCGGTTTCATTTGGGAAAATTATAAAAAAAAAAAAAAAAAAGGTAAATTTGACTCCTTTTATTTCTTTCAATATACCTGTTCCCACTGATTTTATTGAGTGATTCAAAAGTTTGTACTTTGTATTCATAATAACATAAGAAAAAAAATCTGTCCTTGTAATGTATTGGGTTTTATAACGTAATGAAAATTGGATACTGAATTCAAAAAGTTACTTGCTTAACTCAAATTTGGACCATATAATTTTTTCTAAAGAAGTATAAATTGGAGTCTTATTCATTAATAAAATAAAAGATAAGAGTCTATGCTATAAATAATATTCATCCACACATCCAGCTTTTGAGTATCTGTTACATATAAAACAAAATAAAAACGTAGTAATTTTTTTTACCCTTATGTTGACCTTTTTGCACTTAAAATTAAGCATTTACCAAAAATAGGGCTAGAGGAGCACTAAAATTTTTTTAATGTTGTCATGTGTAAACACTTGCTTTAATAAGTCTACATGCAAAAAATAATTAAAATCCATGACATGCGATGTGCCACCCATTGCCTGGTTTTTCGGTGGACTGCCTCTTAATACTTACACCTTTACACACTATAATTTTCTCAATGTCCAAAAAATATTTTCCTCTAGTGTATAGAGGGTCCTTAAGAAAGGAAAATCCCTGAAAAATACATGACTGGTCAGGGTTCTCCATGAGATGTTTTACTGTGTCGGGCCCGACACAGTGAAATTTTTCCCAACACAGTAACGATTCAGATTTTATGTGTGCGACACAGTAAAAAATTTTAAGCACTCAGTTATCTCTCAATTAAGACATATTGTCTTGCTTCACCTTAAGTAAAGACAAATTATTTGTTTTCACACTTCTATGTAACCGTAAAATTGTTAGTTGCATTTTTGAATATTATTTAAACATTTAAAAATTAATCAAATATAATAGTATTTCTTTATTTCAGAACCATGTCTCCGCTAGTATTATGTTGGCGCTGTGAGTCAAACATTATTGTCCCATAATCATTTAAATGATGTAAATATTCAATTGTTGAAGAATTTAAAAGTACCCCCTGAAAGTATTTCACTATTTTAAAGTTTCTTTTTTTTTTTTAATTCAAAAGCTAACTGGTAATTTGATCAACTGACAAAAATCAATGCAAATTTCTTTTAAAGATGATAAGTAGGTCCATTGTATCAACCAGAATTTCCTCTGCTCTTCAGTACATTTGTAAAATATAAAGTTATATACAAAAATATCAAGGTTTAATATACACGTACAACTTGTAGAAAGTGTTACAAGAATATACACTGTAATATAATTTTTTTCTTTAAAAATTGTACTTACTTTTTTCAGTTGTGTGAGTGTGTGGGGGGGGGGGGGGGGAGGGGGGGTTTAAAGTGAGATTGTGTTATGGTATGTACACTGTACATTATTATATATTAGAGACATTCAAATTATTTTCAATAGCCATCAGTTTATTTGTTCTTAATATGTACAATCGCAAATAATAGTGTTTCGCTTACGCTGCAACACAGTAAAATTTCAAATGATGGAGAACAGTGACTGGTTACTTTTCTGACCAGAATTTCCAGAAGATGAATACCCGGGATTTTGCATTGCACTGATATTTTTTAATTGTAGAAAATATTTATTATAGTTATATTGGTTGATTCTTTATTACCCAGTTGTAAAATACATGTAGGGCTGAGAGACCATCAGAAGGACATTTTATACCTGCAGTTTCAATACCTGTGACAATAAACCTATAAACCTTGAAGTTTGTATTATTTCAATGCTTAACAATGCATATTAACATCACATTTCATATTTCTATTTTAAAATACCTATCAACATTTATCATAAACATAATCTGAAACCATTGTAATGATAAAGCATGGTCAAAGAAAACAATTTCTTTTAATGATCATCAAATCCCAGCCCACTGCCTGGTTTTGCTACCTATTTTACCATTATTCATAAATAACAAGTCGGTAGACCATTTTGAACCTTGATTGAGCTGTGTGTAACATGCAGTTAATATATATTTGATGACTGACCATAAGTAATTGGCACTAATCATGGAAATCGGCAGGTTTATAATGCTGATAATCGATATCATTCATATATCAGTATATCATTAGTTATTTCTTTTTGTAGTATTAATTTGAAACATTACCATATCACCTTTTAAAGCCCTAAAAACTTTCAAAAGAGAAAATTTAAATTTACACAAACTAGATTCAAAGAGAAGGGCTGAACTGTAATTGTTCTTCATTCAAAGCATATCAAGTTCAATTTGTCTATAAATTCTGAAGTATGGAGTATTGCTACCATTTACTGGACACATTTAACAGATCTAAACCAAAACTTATAGAGAATACAGAGAAATATCGATATTGGAATGACTAATAGTCTAACACACAAAAACTCTTAACTCCCTCCAAAAAGTAACAAATAACTCTAATCAAACTGCCTTTGATTTTGACGTAATTTCATTCATGAATTATTCATCAGTTAAAAATTACACTGAATCTAATGCGACCAATGGATTGTCTCTGTCCTAACTCCCGTCAGATTTATCTCTATATCCGTCTTTGATTTCCTATAGCCAATCAACATGCAACAAGCTTAATTACAAAAATCTTTGTCTTCTCTGTGCACTTTAAGGAGGTAAATTACGTGAGTGTTGACAAGTTACATAACATTACCTAACATAATTGATACTGAATGCAATGCAGATTCTTTGTTTATTAATTATGAATGATTAAAGTGTGGGATTTTAATTTTACAGCACTAAGCTTGGATTAAATTGATTTCAATTTAATGTTCACTGGGAAATGATTTTAAAGTTTTAGAATTATGTATCCTAACTTTACAATATTACAGGTCACATAATGATTAAAGTAAATTATTTTAACTTTAAATATCAGAGGTCACATTAAAGTGACTTATCCTCTCTATTACAGGTTACATTGGTGTCTCTGGTTTGTTTTATGTACCACTTAATGGCATTGATTTCTGTTTTTATTACAGGTATTTCTCTACATGACAGCAAGGGTCTCTCACAACTGTTCTTTTGAAGATATTCATAAGTTTGAAGTGTGAGGCAGAGGACAGACAACCAATTACTGGTCTGTATAAAAAACCCTCCGCAGTAAAAATCAATGGAAAAAGCAAGATCCAGTAAAAGTGATCACTTGTTTATTTTCACAAATGGAAGATAAATTGGCGGCAAGCAATTCAATACCTGGACAAGATGGCAGATCCCCGCAGTTCTCAGTTGGAAAAAAATCTTCGGAAATGGGAGGAAATTGAAATGGAGGGGTTGAAAAATTTGGGCTTTACAGCTTGATGGTTTTACTGAATTTAATGGCTTACTTCTCTACAAGAGAATCAGGACAGAGCGCCCACCCTCCTTTCTATAATATCACCAGCACAAACAATAGCCTCAATATGACACCTGGTTATCTTTTGTCTCAACCAGAAATACCAAATGATCCTGATTCACTGCACCATAAAACTCAACGAGCCACAGTAATTGCCTTGATGGGAATTTTTGTGTTCATAACCCTGACTCTGACAGCAGCAGTGATTGTGTTTTGTAAGAAGAAAAATTCTGTGTTTCTCCTCCAGAAGTCGGATCTGCATGCTGATCTGGATCTGGAACTGGAGGATATCCAGACAGACATTTCAGATGATTTTGGGAGTTTCACTTTGGAGATCACTGATGTGAGACAAAGTTTCAGTGAGTCGAGTCAACAGGATCTGGGTCAGTATGAGGCTTTGTTAGCTAAAAATAGCACACTGAAACAGTCCACAAGTTTGCCTGTGAGTTTTGATACCTGCCAAGAATACCAACAACTGCAGAACTTACCTACAAAGTCCGAGACTTGTGAGGGAATTAAAACATCTTACACTCCCCTATCATGCCAAAAAGACTGCAACAAAGAGCTCCAGCAGGATGTTAATAACCACAAATGTAGTGGTAATTTAATGTGCCAGTTATGTGAACAGACAAACAGGATTACAGAGTCTATAAAACAGACAGACTCACAGACAGAACAGATGTACGTTTTTCCACTGAAGGGGATAATATCTCAGGAAGATAGTGATTAAATTTTATGTCTTTTTAACAAAAACGCAACCATTTCCATTTCACATACATGGATGCTTTATTCTGTTAAAATTCACACTAGTTTGTATAACCAACAACTGTTTCTCCTATATTATAAATTGAATTTTGTCAACATTTAATACAGATTTAGCTCCTCTTTAAGGTATTAATACATGCACACTTTTCTGAATTTGTTGGTTTTACTGTAGTAGTTGTAATTTTTACTTTCTAAAGCCCTATTTCCCCCAAAAGGGGCAAGGTAATAGTTTGCATGGAGGGAGAACATGTACAAGTCCTGCAAAGAACAGCTTTTTTCTATTTTTAATCTTAGGCTATTCACATAGAGACTAATTTAGCAATGTTATTAATAACAGTTACAGTACCTTTTTACTTTTTCAGCATTAAACAATTACACTATTTTTACTTCCCATGTCTCATAAACTACTGTAATGTTTTATGATACAGTGAAACCTGTCTAATCAGACATGCACTGGGAGACAAATTGGAATAGACAGGGTGTCAGATTACACTGTGTAAAGAATATTGAAACTAGAAAAATTGGAATGGAAATAAAGGTTGGAATTCACAGTGAAACAAATTCACAGGTGTCAGATTAGACAGTTTTCACTGTATCAATGCTTTCATTTACTTATAAAACATTTTTGTTGAATAAGTTTTCCCATTATGTCTCAAATGTAAGTATCACTATATACCCTGGATCATGCAAGAGACAGTTATGAAACTTGCTGAAAAAGCCTTCAGAAACAGATAACACACCCTCCTAATCACCCTGGCATGATTTATAATCTACATATTAATAGCTCTGGTTAGAGATTCAATGATGCTAAGCAAATATAAGTATTTGATTGCAATACAAAATATCATGAAACCATTTTTGCTTTGTGTCCTATGAACTTTTTTGATTCAGACAATCTTATAGATGAAAGAAAAAGCAAGGTTCACTTAGGGCCTTTTTTGGCTCTCTGTGAATTTCTGAAAAAATCAAAACTGCTCAGTTTTAGTTGACATTGCATTAAATATCAGCTGGACCCTTGGTAAATGCAGATATATATTTTGAAAATGATGTAATTTTCAATGTATTATCACGTCATAAAATACATCATTTTCTCCATATCCTGAAAATTCCTTCAAAATCAAAATAATTAAGCTTTTTTTCAATATTTCGTATAGAGCACAACTTCTGTGAAATTATATAAAGAAAGAACAGTTTCTGATGATTATGAAATGTTTTATTTCTTGGATTAAAGAGTGTGCTCCTATTTTAATTATTTGCCAGAGATACTCCATTACACCTGTTTTCTGCAAAATTTAAGAGCATGGCAATTTCACTGCCCCTATGTTCTAATACCTTGAATCTCAGAGGAAACTTTGTGATAGGAAATGAAAGCACTAAGTCTCTACTTTATATTGATGTTAGAAATGGGACAGCAGGAGACAATGAATTAGTATAAGGACATGGCCACTTTGTGCATAAAAGTGAACCTAGCTCTTTTTTAGTATGTGATTGACCATCTTCGCTAGCCAAGGGTTTCTGATACGCTACTCTCCTCATAAACCCTTGGCATATGGTGTTAAAAAAAGTTGGGATTTTTTTCCCAAGTTATGATTGGAGTTGATCAACATCGTTCGATCAATCAGCCATTGTTTTTTGTAAATGACGATATTTGTGTTCGGGATATATCTTGACTCTTTAATATCGGTAATGTAAAACGCAAGTAAACAATGATCCGTAAGATAACATGCCATTCTATGAATAGCTATACGGTATCATCCAATATCTAAAGCTACGTGCAAAATATGTGATTAAGAATCTATACTGAAGATGTAGATTTGCATTTTTACATGTTTAAATAACAAATTAACATAACTCAATACCTTCTTGTTAATTATTCTTTAAAAACAATTTTTTTTAAATACGCTTTTTATTTCTGTCGATGACGCAATCTGTGCGTACCTGGTAAGAATCATGATCACGTAACAAAAACAATCCCGTCATTTGTCAGCACCGTATGCCAAGGGTTTATGAGGAGAGTAGCGTATCAGAAACCCTTGGCTAGCGAAGATGGTGATTGACTGAATAACAGGAAATATGCCCGTCCGAAGTTTTTGTGCAGTAAACCAGACTTAGCTTGTAAGGTTCCCATCTGTGTAAAGACCAAGGATGGTCATATTTCCTAATATTCAGTCAATAATCTCTTTATTACATGTTCTAAAACTAATATATTTTTTCAAGTTCAATGGATATCTGTGACGTAAAATGTACATGTATTTTATGTCATTAAGAATGGAGAAACAGGAAAATATATTGTATACATATATATAAACACTAAAGTAGTCCCTGGGCATTTACAATGCAGGCTGATATGGCTCTATAAATGTCCAGGTTGTCTCTATATACATTCTGTTGAGAAATACATCAAATTATTTAATTTATAAATATTACATATAACACATGGCTTCTAGGGCGGCTATACCAGAATATTTGCCCCTCGGTGACAGGAAAGCCCTGGAGTGTTATGCCTTAGACATAACATTTGGTTTTCCTGTTACCTTTGGGCAAATATTCCGGTATGTCCTCCTCATATATGATATATGTATTACTATAATGACACCAAGAAAGGAGGGGTCAATGTAGTTCAATGTGTTCAATGTTCTTTTTCCCAAGATGCCATTCATTGCAATACTCCTCTCTCTTTGAGGAATTTTATTGAATGTCTATAGAAAATTGTATTTTTTTTAACACATAGTTACCACTTTTAAAATCTGAATCATACCAGAACCTTGCTTCGAGCATTCTGATATTTATTCACTTATGCATGTTATATTTTAATTCTTAAATAAAAAGTTCATTCTATGATCATGACATTTATTTTCATTTTTTATTTATTGACATATTTACAAATATTTCTGTTTCATGTAAAGGGGGTTCCAAATATTGTTCTAACCCAGGCTTTGGGGTCCGTGTGGCAGCTAATAGTCCTTTACAAAGCAAAACCATCAATAGAAGTTATGTAAAAATACTAGTGAAAACTATCACATGGATTGCAGCAATGATACCAATAAGTGCCTCAATTTGGAAGGTTGCTATACACATGAGACAATGAATTAATAATGGGCTTGTCAAATAATATTTTCCTTATCCAGTGATATGGAGGGATGGTCCCTTGGTTAATTTGTACTGGGACAGAGGGGTATAGAGTATTATAATAATACAGCTCAGCTGTTGTAATTTACACTGACCTAGGAGAATGTGTTACACTGATGGCTACCCGGTGTATTGTACGTTAATATTAATGCTTCTGTCAAACTTTTTTGTTTATGTTTACACTGACGACAAGATTCACTGGTCGATTTTATTTACAATTTGTTGAATCAAGGTAATGCACAGCTTTTTTAATATATTGTCAGCTATTGCAATCGACCACTGTAAAAGTGGAAACTTTGATGACATGGAAACATTGATGAAATTGAAGAATTACAAATAATTATCAAAGTTTCCACACATCAACTATCACATTCTTGTTAAAAAAAAAAACACTATTAAGGACATACGCAACGTACCTTACCTACTGATAATTTTTCAAGATATTCTCAATTTAAGATTAAAGTGCCATCAGATGTTCATAGACAAAAAGTCAGCATGTATCACCAGGGGTTTTGAGAAGATATCAATTGATGAAAATTCTTGTATAATTAAAAGAAAAATATACAAAAAATACTAAACATATATTCTAGATGTTTTATTTATCCAAACTTGTTTTAGAAGAAGTGTACAGCAGCATATATAGACATTAAAATGTAGCATACAGTTCCTTTAAGAATTGGAACTCTTCAACTCCAGGGAAAAAGACAGTAAAGTTCAAACTACATTGCATATGTCCTTAAATACGAGTTGATCATCAAAGTTTCCACTCACCATATTTCTAATATACCGAAATCATCAAAAGTTCAACCCTTCAATATAATCACGTTTGCAGTACTAATCTTAAGAATCTATTGACAAGGCCATGAAGTATAATACAGTAAGAACTCGGTTATAACGAAGTCACTGAGACCTTTGAAATTACTTCGCTATATCCGTAATTCATTATATCCGTATAAGAAATATTAAATCTATATAGCTGGGGATCCAAGAAAAATTCGCTATATCCATGAATTCGCTATATCCCTGTTCATACCAAACGGGTTTAACTGTAGTTTATCTCTTTCTCAAGCAACTTCAATAAAGTGTCACATTTAATGACTTGACAACATCTAAAAAAGGCATTATAAATTGTACAGAAACCTTGTTTTATTGTTAGTTATAGGCAATTTCAGCATCAGCAGAAATATGGAAATCAAGATATCTAAAATTTGAGGTTTTAGACTTCAGTGCAAAAGAATGATATGCCTAGTATATGGTTTTATGTCAATACCTAGGATTGGGCTTTAAATGATGTTGATATGTAGATAGTCATGCTGGTAGGGAACAACATTTGACAAAAACTGAGGCTTAAATGACAGAGTGAAAAATTGATCTTATGTTTTTTTGTTGGTGGGTGGGGGTGTTTATTGTTCTTCATACTGCATAGAAAGGGGGTAATTGAGGCAAAATAGTTCAATTAAATTATTCTAGATTAACACATAGTAAAAACCTCTATGTTAACAGTTAGAAAGATTTCAGGATAGCTAGGGTTATCCCTATACATATTCATTGTACTTGTTAAGATTTTACCCCTGAATTCAATACTTAATTCAAATTTGAATTTCAAAATTTTATCCTTTTTTTTTCAAAGCTAATTTTCTAATTTGTTCATGGAGTATATAATTTTCTTACTTCATGTTCTACAAATCAGATTTAAAAATATCACACACAAAAAAGTGATTCCTACTAGCCCAAAGAAATGGATCATTATTTTAAATAAATGTAAGAAAATATCAAAGTTCTTGAATAGCTTAAACTTGTCATACAGCTAGGTTTCAGCTGTAGTTAATTCATACATGAAAAGAAAATTCCATCACAATCTCATCATACTTCAGGGTTTTATGAATATTTTCAGGCTGTAAAACACAAACAAGTTTTATCATTATGCTATGCAAAGTGTGCATAGCAGAACACCTTTTCCCCCTTCTACTGTGTTAAATTGATATCAATATTGATAATCAGAGCCATATAACAGAAAACTCATTATTAATTCTGCTGAAACTAATGATTCCCTCAATCCCTAAGTAAACTTTTCATGTGATAAACTTCCTCAAACTCTGAATAAATCAATGTCATAATCCCTTAAATAACACAGATATAACAGGCCAAAGAACAATTGACGTGTATTATACACATGGCTTAATATGTCTCAAGGGACATAACTCTACAATCTTATTACTACAGCATGATAAATCTATGAACGAATTTTCTTTGAACCTTTCATGGATTGAACAGAAATAGAATTAGTAATAATGTCGAGAAGTACTGAGCTCTGAGAAGTATATACATGTAATTTATATATGATTTAGAAGTGAACAAAGTTAAGTGCTACTGAAACTGTGGTCAAAAAAATATGAATCCTGCTTAAGACACAATCGTAAAGTATTCATTAGATAAAACATGTCTGCACTGAAGAATTTCACAAAAATATACACACACACATAAACACTTTGTTTAAAAACAAGGCTGCACCATGTTATTCAGTATTAACTCAATCAAAAATTGTTAGAAAGTAAGGTCAGACTAAGCAAGTTCCTACTAATGATAACTGTATTTATGAGGAAAGAATCAAACAAGCCTACTATATCATGCCAAGCTATAGCAGTGTATACATGGAGCTTGTGCTATACAATTTTTTCACCCTATTAGTAATGGCCTTGACCTACCTTGATGACCTTGGCTAGAGCATCAGCTCCTTTACTGGAGAGACTACAGCCTGTCAGGTTGATGGAGCTAATGGACGTCTGGTTCTTTATTCCTTTACACAGAACTACAATAGACACATCATTCACTTTATCTGTCTACTGTACAATAGACAAATGTATCAATCACTCTATCTGTCTACAATAGACACATGTATCAGTCACTCTATCTGTCTACAATAGACACATGTATCAGTCACTCTATCTGTCTACAATAGACACATGTCATTATTTGTATATTTCTGTTCACTGATGTATAAAATGTTGTCTCTTTGATAATTGTCCACATATGGAACAGACCAATGTTGAAAATTTAAGATCAATATTTTGTAATTTACTTTGCATTTTTATTCAAAAAGTCTAACAGTAAGAATATGATTTTTTTTTTTTTTTTACAAAAAACATGACCCTTTGCACATTAACATTATTTTTTTTTCAAATCATTTAAATATTTTATAAAGCCAAGGTTATAATTTTAACCAAAAATTCAAATTTGAGCCTAGAATTACATTCAAAATTTCAGCAACATACTATAAATCACTTTTTATTCACAAAAAATTTCAAGTAATTGCATGTAAGAGTCTGCTTGCAAAAGTTTCATTCTTGCATATATTTGTTTTTTTAAAGATTACATATAATAATGCTGAAAATTTCTTCCCACTTATAAATAAAAAATAACTCCCATGAAAATATGCTATCACAAAAAATTTAAAGACACAGTACTTAACTTTTGATAGCAATATTATCATGGCTGCAAATTGCCCGCCCACTCGCAAAAGCGAGTAATTTTGCCTGTTGGCTTTTAACTCTTGATGATTTCAACTTTTGTTATCACCCACATGGTGAGTGAGAATTTTATTGGACCTTTTCCAGAACCTGATCATAGTTTGTTTCCACTATTAAATGCACTTTCGTTTTCACTGTTTTTTACCTATAAAGCATTTACTGTGCCAATCAAATGCCTCCTTAAAAGTACCTCTAAGTTTAACATTTAATTTTCCTTTCATGTTTCAATGGTAGCAGGTTTTCGTCAAAATCCCATTAAGATGCACACTGTGTATCATTCACAATTAGTAGACTTATATTCAATGACATAAATTTTTCTCTTGAAATAAGTATGTTGAAGACATTTCTTTTTTTTGGCTACTACCATAGGGAAAAATATTTCATGTTATGAACTGTTAAAGTCAGTAAAGTACACTCTCTGTAATTTTACAATAGAAACATATAATTCAAAATACATGAAGTGAATGAAAACATGGAATTTCAAACAAGTGGTGTCCAAATCCGCAGGAAAAATTGAAATGAAAGACTGTGGAAAGCAAAGTATATTTCTCCGAGATTATGATAAGAAAAGATCGAGAATCGTGAATAGAAATTGTGGGCACCAAATTTCAATGTGGGCTAGTAAAACTTGTAAAGATGGGGGCCCACATGTCTCCTAAGGTTTAAATGTTATTTGCAATCCTAATTATGAAGAAAACAAAATTTACCATTGCTAAATTTTCTAGACTTTCTTCCCCTTATAATCATTCATTTTTATTAAAATTCAGTTTAATGCTTAACTTTCATAAAGTGAAGTTAATGTATATATATTTAATTCAAAAATTCATTGAAGATATAGAGGTTTGTGCCATTTGTAAATTGATACACAGCTCAACAGAAATGTGGTATCATTTAAAACTTTCATATCAATTATAATATTATAAATAAAATAACATTTTCATAATAAAAGTATGTAGAGGTTACATGGTAAAAGTTAAGTACATGAGCACTCTTTACCTTCTAGCCCCCCGTCGCCGATCCTACAGAATTCCACAGAGAGGTGATGCATTGTCTCATTCTTCGCCAGGCCCTGTTTTATAAAATCAAATATTCTTTGATCTGATATTATCAAATAAATAAAACAAGAGGCCCATGGGCCACATCGCTCACCTGAGTAACTTTGGCCATGCTGTTCATTACCAGACTCCCCCCTTGTAATACCTATTGTGGCCCCACCCTCCCCCCAGGGGCCATGATTTGAACAATTTAGAATCTACACTACCCCAGGATGCTTCCACATAAGTTTCAGTTTTTCTGGTCCAGTGGTTCTTGAGAAGATTTTTAAAGATTTTTCCTATATATTTCAATGTAAAACTTGGGATTCCCCCTATTGTGGCCCCGCCCTATCCCCTGGGTCATGATTTGAACAATTTAGAATCTACACTACCCCAGGATGCTTCCACATAAGTTTCAGCTTTTCTGGCCCAGTGGTTCTTGAGAAGAAGATTTTTAAAGATTTTTCCTATATATTTCAATGTAAAACTTGTATTTCCTATTGTGGCCCCGCCCTACCCCCAGGGGCCATGATTTGAACAATTTAGAATCTACACTACCCCAGGATGCTTCCACATAAGTTTCAGCTTTTCTGGCCCAGTGGTTCTTGAGAAGAAGATTTTTAAAGATTTTTCCTATATATATTTCAATGTAAAACTTGGATTCCCTATTGTGGCCCCGCCCTACCCCCAGGGGCCATGATTTGAACAATTTAGAATCTACACTACCCCAGGATGCTTCCATATAAGTTTCAGCTTTTCTGGCCCAGTGGTTCTTGAGAAGAAGATTTTTAAATATTTTTCCTATATATTTAAATGTAAAACTTGGATTCCCTATTGTGGCCCCGCTCTACCCTCAGGGGACATGATTTGAACAATTTAGAATCTACACTACCCCAGGATGCTTCCACATAAGTTTCAGCTTTTCTGGCCTAGTGGTTCTTGAGAAGAAGATTTTTAAAGATTTTTCCTATATATTTCAATGTAAAACTTGGATTCCCTATTGTGGCCCCGCCCTACCCCCGGGGGTCATGATTTGAACAATTTAGAATCTACACTACCCCAGGATGCTTCCACATAAGTTTCAGCTTTTCTGGCCCAGTGGTTCTTGCGAAGAAGATTTTTAAAGATTTTTCCTATATATTTCAATGTAAAACTTGGATTCCCTATTGTGGCCCCGCCCTACTCCCGGGGGTCATGATTTTTACAATTTAGAATCTACACTATCCCAGGATGCTTCCACATAAGTTTCAGCTTTTCTGGCCCAGTGGTTCTTGAGAAGAAGATTTTTAAAGATTTTTCCTATATATTTCTATTTAAAACATTGATTCCACATTGTGGCCCCGCCCTACCCCTGGGGGTCATGATTTGAACAATTTAGAATCTACACTACCCCAGGATGCTTCCATATAAGTTTCAGCTTTACTGGCCCTGTGGTTCTTGAGAAGAAGATTTTTTAATGACCCCACCCTATTTTTGTCTTCTCTTGATTATCTCCCCTTGTGAGGGGACTTGGCCCTTCATTTTAACAATTTAAATTCCCCTTCACCCAAGGATGCTTTGTACCAAGTTTGGTCAAAATTGGCCCAGTGGTTCTTGAGAAGTCAAAAATGTGAAAAGTTTACAGACGGACGGATAGACAGACGGACAGACAGACGGACGGACGGACGACGGACAAAATGTGATCAGAAAAGCTCACTTGAGCCTTCGGCTCAGGTGAGCTAAAAAACAATATCAATGTTGGTATCAGTAAAACTCTTTTATCTTCTTGCTAGATGAAACACTGTGAAGAGCTCAAGAGTTATTTCCCTTTAAACTGTTCACTGCTGATCATCAGAGTTTTTAGAGGATTGGAGCTGTGATCAGAAACAGATTCTGAATTGATGTCTTTGTTTACTTTGTTCACAGAGATTTCCCCTAGGAAAATGGGAGATATTAAGTCACTCTGTCTGGGAACAAGGTTTTTCCTTCAGAAAAAAACCTGTTATTTTAGACAGAGACCTATTTTTCATGCTTGCTGAGTGTACATTCCTAGGGAAAAATCTTTGTAATTTTAGACAGAGACATCTTTTAATGTTTGCTGAGTGTACATTCCTAGGGGAATATCCTCCTTATTTTAGACAGAGACCTATTTTTACGTTTACTGTTTTATGTTTACTGAGTGTAATTTCCAAGCGAAATTCTTGTAGTTTTAGAGAGAGACCTATTTTTTTTCCTTGTAATTTTGGACAGAGTGGCCTACCTTGATGAGGGTCTGTAGATCCCGTTCCCTGAGGGGCAGTCCCTGAAGCTCCAGGCAGGCCAGGGTAGGGGTACACATCAGACATTCCTTCAGTGCCTTACACAGTCTGTAGGTGATCTCCTTAGATCTGATGGAGGGCATCTTACGTTTCTCAATTAATGCTTTCTTCTCTGTAGGAACAAGAAAACATGGCTGTTGTGAGCTTGACTTTTGGAGATAAATTTTATCATGAACTGCCTGACTTTATATTTTAATGTACAGAAGTTCTGTAGATTATTTCGTATCTTTCACATGTCACATATGACTTACAGTACACAATAAGCACTAACCATTCTCCTCTGATGGTGGGGTGTAGTAACTCCGAATTGCGATAAACTCCAGACTTTTGTTGATCTTTATTGTATTCAAGATTGGAGCCCAGTCATTCACTCTGAACAAAATTTAAACATCATTATGTCATAATCATCCTTGTAGTATAAATCTCCAAATCTACATGACTGTATTGTGTGTAACATATTTGTGTTTCCATAACGTCAGATTTTCTATGAAAACATTACCAGAAACTTGGTTAACAATTCTCTTCTGAAAGAATTGGGACACACAAAAAATTATTTTCAGGATGATAAAATAATTAAAAACCTCTCTATGAAGTGATGCTTATTTCAACATGTTCAAAATTAACATGCATACCATGACCTTTGTTCTATCTTAAAACAGTGAAACTTCAAAACTTTTAAAATTACCATTACCAGGTTACAAGTTACTATCCTACTTGCTCTTTCAGAAAAGGTTAACAAAACATGACCTCTTTGTACTAACCTGACCCTGTCTCCATTTATGTCAAGGACACCTTGTGCCAGGTGAGCTTTAACAGCAGGAAGAGGACACGAGTCCTGCATGGCACAAAGGTTGTCATAGTGACTCTCAAAGTCATATGCCCCACGCTGCCGTATCTGCACACTCTCTATCACCATGGTGGAACCATAAACTGGACAAAGCTTATAACCCTGAAAATTGTACATATACTAAACTTTAAAACATTGTTTGATTTTTTTTAATTTCTTAAATTCACCTGCTCGAATTATAATGAAAGTATTAATGATTAAAATTGTATCTGATAACAGTGTTTTCCCTAAGAACTGGCTACCGCCAAATTGACCACTTCAATTGATAAAAATGCCTCTTTGAAATTAAAAAAAAAATCAATATTTTATTGTTGTTGGGTCCATAGAGATTTGTCATAAACCTCAACCCAAAGCCTGTTACAATTGATTGCTACCCTTTACTTTGAAATAAAGGGAAAACACTGTGATAGAAACAAGAGACCCAAGGGCCTTAACAGTCACCTGAGTACAATACAACAATTTAGAGGATCCATAAATTGATAAATGAAGCTTTGTTGCCCAAAATCAAGAAAAATAGTATGATTAGCATCAACAAAATAATTGGTCTAGTATCTATCTGTCCCCCACTTATCACTATTACCATGCAGACTATTAACAAAATGTCTATTTTTTAACCCCATATTACTACTTCTCACATTGGCCTCTCTTGGCCTTTGAAGAACATTTAAAAAGATAAGTTAGTTTTGTCCTGTTTTTATTCAGCTATTATTTCCAAGTCTACCTGATCATTATAACTATGAAAGTACTTTTTGTATTATACAATAAACATTCTTGCATACTTCTCTTGTTCTATTAACCTTTCAAATACATTGTTTACAGTGATTACTAAGTAATTATCAAAGGTGAATGGTAAAGGGAAATAACTCTCCTCAGCAGAATACAAGTTAATACCTGGCCAGGACCAGAACACTTGACTAAATGGTCCAGGTGTTCAAAATTCTGGTAAAAATACCTTTGCATATTAGAACTTTTACTCTGTTTGCCTCGAATATGCCCAGAAGCATAGAAGATTTTCAAAGAAATGCGTTTTCACTATATTATTAAATAAATAAAGCCCCACCCTTACACCAGAACATCTGACCCATTGGCCATGAACTCACAATTCTGGAAGAAGCACCCTTGCTCATCATAACTATACACTTGTTTCTTTGCTTTATAACCAGTAGTAGAAAAAATATTTTGAAAGAAATCATGCATTTTCACTATATAATCAATAGAGCCCCCCCCCCCCCCCCACTTCACCAGAACCCCTGACCCAGTGGCAATGAATTTCACAATTTTGGAAGAGGCAACCATGCTCATCATAACTATGAACTTAGTTTATTTAATATCCAGGAGCAGAAAAGAAGATTTTCAAAGAATTAATGCAATTTTACTATATAATCAATAGAGCCCCACCCTAAAACCTGAACCCCTGACCCAGGGGCCATAAAATACACAATTTCTGAAAAGGCAGTCATGCTCATCATAACTATGTTCTTAGTTAGTTTATTTTATACCCAAGAGCAGAGAAGAAATTTTCAAAGAATTAATGCATTTTCACTATATAGTCAATAGAGCCCCACCCTAACACCAGAACCCCTGACCCAGGGGCCATGGAATTCACAATTTTGGAAGAGGCACTCTTGTTCATCATAACTATGTACTTAATTACTTTATTTAATACCCAGGAGCAGAGAAGAATATTTTCAATGAATTAATGCATTTTAACTATATAATCAATAGAGCCCCACCCTAACACCAGAACCCCTGACCCAGGGGCCATGAAATTCACAATTTTTGGAAGAGGCACTCTTGCTCATCATAAGTATGTACTTAGTTACTTTATTTAATACCCAGGAGCAGAGAAGAAGATTTTCAAAGGAATAACGCACTTTCACTATATGATCTATATAGCCCCACCCTAGGACCAGAACCCCTAACCCTGGGGCCATGAATTTCACAATTTTGGTAAAGGGCTCAATGCTTCTTACAATCATGCCAACAGTTTGACTGCTTGATGTCCAGGAGTAAAGAAGAAGATTTTTAAAAGATTGCATTAATTTTGGTGGTTTTAGCCCCACCCCTCAGGCCCCTGGGGGGGCAGGGACCAAATTCACAATTTTTGTTCCCCTTCACCCATAGATGCTATATGCAAAATTTGGTCAAGCAGTTTCAGAGAAGAAGCTAAAAATATTCAAATGTTAATGCACGATGACGAGCGAAAACGGATTGCAATAGGTCACCTGAGTGACTCAGGTGACCTAATAAAAGACTTATTGCAAATGTTTCTGTAAGTACAATTATTTTAGGTATTCCTGTTGTTACAGTAGGCCTTGTTACCTGTGCAGCACCTAATTTGCAGCATTCATGAACGTTCTACTAGATTCAGAGAAATCAAAATTGGGTTAAAACAAAACATAAATAAGCAAAAAAAAAAACAACAACAACAAAAAAAAAACACCTTTTGAAAATCACTTCTTTATAGGAAGGCCATACATCAGCTAGAGCATTCAATTGTTAAAATGATACTATTCTACAGACCCTGTTTAATGAGAGTATTTGTTCCATGTGTTGGCAATGTAGCAAAATAAACAGGGGTAGATAATTCTAACTTATGTGTATACTAGTTCTGAATCCATAATGGGTGAATATTGGAAGTGAGAAAAAAAGGTTAAGAAAATGTGCTTATTTTTTCATACGGATTATTTGAAAGGGAGTGGGGCAGAATTAGAGGGCATACGGGTTTGTACTGATTAATTTAGTGGTTATTTTCAGTGCAACTCCCTTTGTTTCCTCTGAAATTGTGCTGGAGTGGATCCACTTCGTTTTGCTACATCAAAACTATACTACAGTAAAACATGCTTATAACTAGGGATGGGTATCGGCTGAAATTTAGTATCGTGATATATCACAATTTTTTCCCAAAAATATCACGAATAAATCATGATATTTTTACATACAATTTTTACTACAATTTCATATGAATTTCCATAATATTTCCTAAAAATATGCTATAAAAACATAACTTTACTGTTTAAATATTTATTTATTTAATATAAAGAATGTTTGGATGCAGTTGTTTAACTGTTTTTACACTTCCTGTAATTGTCGTTCAATAGATTGAACAAACAAATGAATATTTATAGTTATGTACCAAATACCAGTATTTTAGTCTTCGTATCACGATACGTATCACGCAATAAAAAATCATGATATACTGGTATACCCAGGGGTTCAAAATTCCTCAAGCCCGACGTCCCGGACTAACAAATTCCGGATCCGGACTCGGCATTTAGAATCGCCAAAAGTCCTGGGACTTGGCAATGTTTCTTGTTTATCTTTTATTTAAGTTAAGAAAAAAGTTTGTAAAATTAAAATTAAAGCAAATTCTCAAATGTATTGAATGAAAATGTGGATTTTTTGGCGTTAATATACCCACAAAACATTACGAACGTCTCAAAAATACAATCCGTCTTTTTATGTTCCGTTGCGGTTAGACACCTGCTTTTACGCAATTTCTCATGTTTCCTCCCATATGACATGAGTTTGTTAAATTTTGGTTTTACCAGTAAAGGAACGAGAAATAAAAGACCCCGTGAGGAACATGAAGATGGGGATCAAAATAACAATTCCAAAGACGGAACCTATGACAAGAAGAGAGTTCACGAATTCCAAAGCCACTGGCATGATGATAGGCCGTGGCTTGATTACAATGACGATACGAAAACGATGTTTTGTTCATTTTGTCAAAGTTTTCCGATATTTAATGATGGTTTAAATAAATATAATTTTATCTATCATGAAAATATGGACTCAGAAATTTCTTCCTCGGACTTGCCTAAAATTTACTCTTTAAGTCCTGGACTTGACCATGATAAAAAAAATTTTGAACCCCTGTATACCGATAAAATCGTGCATCCCTACTTATAGCAGGGGGCCAGGGACCAACAATTTTAAAGTGTTATAAATGTAATTCTTTATATCTGTTCATTTCACACATTTTAAAACTCTGGGAATGAAAATTAATATAGTTACACACATGACAAAAAAGGCTCTTCTGAAACAAAATTATCATGGGGGCTCTATAATATTATTAATTTCTTGAGTTTAGATACTGCTGTGGCATTAATCTTCAATCCTTCATTTAAGCAAACAGTGTACGTGCAACTTTGTACCGTTAACCTAAATACACGGATAAATCACAAACTCGACTATTCACGAAGACACAGGTGTAAATTTACATTGACAATATTCCGACACAAAATCATGTCTGAGCTCGTTGAAAAAAATATTACGTGAAATGTTTTGTGACTGGTTAGTGCTTTATGGAGGATTGCACTCTTTTACATTTCTTTACAAAGATATTTTCTTTATGAAAGTGTTTATCAAGCTTGCAAAATCTTCGTATGATGAAGCATACCAAGTTACATGATTTCCATTCAAACTCCTTCTGTCAAGCCGCCTTTTGTTTACAACCGGAAGTGAAAAAATATTAAAACTTGAAACAAAGACGGAGAATATGTCCGTAAATATATATTGAATGCGAGATCAAATGATAGTTTGTGTTGTTTCTTTAAAAGAAACAAAATAAAATAATAATTTAATAAAACTTTTATTCTGTCCTTTGTAACCGAAAGAACGTAGTGGACAGTAGAGAGTTTGCTTTCAGTTTCTTATCATCTAAATTTCGTTGTAGGAAATGTTGCTACTTTTCATATTTTCTGGAGATGGGAGTGTCCATGGACTTTTTTGGTACTTTACTGCACAAATTTTATAAATGTGAAAATCTTACCCGAGGGTCCGGTACCCACCCTTTTCCACCTCCATCTAGATCCGCGCATGCTTCACTGCAGATTTTTTTTTTTTCTTTTCTGTTTTGTGCAAAATTTAGCAATTTTGCGAGTTTATGTAAGATATTCAATATAATTCTTTCACGATAGCATGAAATATGAAGATAACGAACAGTATTCAATCTCGAAAGTCCAATGAAACGATACAAATTTGAAGCAGAGCAAACACTGACCTCAAAATTTAGTGGTGGGATCATGTGCCATGGAGGAGTGATCGAGCGTCCCCTGCCGACCGGTCACACCCGCCGTGTGCTCCTTGTCATG